AGTTCTGATCGGAAAACGACCCAAATATCGGAGTATGGCTAGCTGCCCCAGAGCCTTGTCCTATATACGGATCAGAGAAAAAATACTTTAAACATTTCGGGGGTTATTTTTATGACTTTCGGGGGCTCTTTTTGGCATTTCGGGGGCTAATTCACCCCGAGCCCCGTGTATTTTTCCTCCTGATACGGATAAGTGAGTGCCCTGATGGGTCTTCTTGTAACTCGTGTTTTTAGCCCTTCTTTCTTTACTTTTTCCTTTCCTTTCCTTTCTTATTTTTTCAAAGAGGAGGGGGGGCGGGTCCATCGCCCCCCGTATATCCGCGCCTGAGTGACACCCACACAAACTAACCTTATTTATTACCGAACAAAAAAATGAAGAAAGAGCCCCTCGACACCATAGGTGTAAGTATTCAGCCAGTTCCTACCCCCCCCCCACCAATATAAACTTTAAAAGTGATTTTTTTTTTTTCTAATTTGATACCAGTGATATACAGATCTTGCTAAAATGGCCTAATTTTCCGGGATTTTTCCTCGCTTTTTAGTAAATTATACTTTTTATGCGTTTGTTGGAGAATGACATAATTTATATCACAATTTACAGTCAGGCAAGAAATGTGCTTATTTACTATTTAGAGGCCGACATGTCAGGTCCCGCGGAACGGCGGGCTTGGGGGCTCAAGTTCCCCCCCCCCTTCCACCCCCACACTTTTGAAAAAGTATATTAAAGAGAATGAAATAGAAAGAAATAGAAAAGAAAGTATGCTCATGTAACCGTAATTAAATGCCCATACCCCTGAGCTAATTCCGGGGGCTCTGCCCCCTGGACCCCATCTTGGGCCCTAAGGCTGGCCCCGGGATGCTAATCTGACCTTAATTGTAATGCCTAAAACCCCTGTGCTTCCCGGGGCTCCGCCCCTTGGAGCATACGCCAATAGTGACCTGCCAGTGTCATGAATATGGTATTAAAATATGCTCATCTGACCGTAAGAACGAAGCCACGTACAATCGATTACAACAGTAATTGTGGGGCCGATATCACGAGTATGCCTTCATAGAATAAAGGTTTTAAAGAAAATATTCACTTCTACTTTCAAAAGGACTGGCCCATTTGCTTTAAAAAATTGTAGAGAGTTATCATTATGTAATTTCTAGAAAAAATGCCAACCACATGATTTACAATGAGTCTAAATACATTGACCCGCATATTATGTCCGACGGACAAACGAAACTGGTAGGACAAACGGCGCGGTCACACCGGCTCACATAGTAGCGGCAAAGACCCCACGAAAAACGACGGACGCGAAAATCACAAAATTTGGGCGGGAAAGCGACGGCAAAAGGGGAAAACAAAGATTCGCTGACGGATGGGAACGACTTTCAGCGACAACACGACGGCAAGGGACGAATGGCTGCAGGAGGGAACGGAGTCTAGCGACCAAAATCGGACGTTGTCTGGGCGGACCCCAACAACAAGGAACGAGGTCAGACGACTGGCAGCGGATTGGCTGGCGGCTAGGAACGGCGGCTGACGGTGGGTTGCGGCGACGATGACGTGACTCAGCGGCCGACATCAAAGCATGTGTGTGTGCGGGTAACTGACGTCACAAAACGTGAAAAATCGCACTAGAAGTTTTAAATTGTTAACCATCGGTGCAAAATCGTAACCCATAGCAGTCGACCGTTGCAATGTCGTAGGAACTCGCAAACGACCCGCCATCAACAGTCATCCACCGTCACCCTCCGGCCAAAATTCGCAATCCATCGTCGCACCAAGGTTGTTACAATTTCGTTATTTGCCGCGGAATGTGTCGTAAGAGTTTGAGATGTGACGTCATTTGCCATTGTTTTGCCGTCAATGGTCGTTGACAACGACAACGACTACCAACGAGATTGTGACGACCTCAAAACGATTAGAGAGGGAATCGCACGGCATGTAAACGTCAAGGAAATGAGGGTTGCGGACCGCATTCATGTTCCCAAAATGTCTGGTATAGGGGTACTTTTCACGCAGCTAAGTCCGGCTCGTAACATACACAAAATTGACCCGTATTGACTTTACACACCGGACTTAGGGGGGTGTTTTCAAAAGGAGGGAACATGCATACGCTTACCCTAAATACTACTAAGTGAGGGGGTACCCCCCCCCCCCCTTCTTCGTCATAGTGCATGTGAGCCGGCCTTTAGGGGTGAGGCAATCTCGTTCCATCTGTTGTCTATTTGGTGTCTGTCTCGTTGGTGGGACTGGGACGTTCGGGAGGAAATGGTATGTTTAGGCACACCAACGAGACCGACTTTAGACCGACAATGAAATTCGATTACTCCGGATGGCCAATAATAGGTCGGTCTTAGTTTGTGTGGAGTCGGTTTAGCGGAGTGACTTCGGTAGAAAATAATGAAATCTTATTTCTGTTTATTGTAGGTCCTCGTGTTGGTCTCATTCGTTCGTTCGTTCGTGTCTCCTTAGATCAAGATTAATGTATATTGATCTTCGGAGTAGTTGCTACAACCGGCCGTGTCAGACACGTTTCCCTGGGGTGCGAGATAGGACTCTTGTAGCGTACCCCCATTTAAAACAATTATACAGTTAACATTACATTTAATTAATCGTATGAAACTATTAAATTACTCTCATGTTACGGGAAAAAATATTATATATATATATTATGAATCAATTGATGTGGTCGATCCAGTTCGATGGCACAAACACGGCACTTATGGACAGAGATCCCAATAATTACAGAGCTTGGTCTTGTTGCTCTGTTCGCCAGCAGTTTGAGGATATGGAATCCCGCGGCACATTACTCAGAAGAGTTCTAATTTAACAAGCCAAGTTTATACAGAGCCTATATTTGTCTCATTGCGACCCATCGATGTGACGGTGTGTTGGGGGTGACAATCGTATGCTTATCATCGTACGATGAGAAATCATTGGGCAGGTCTGTACACCAACTTCCTGTTCTTATTCTGGGATTGCCAAGTGGCGTAACTTGAGAGGGATTTGGAACCTGCTTTATTACATTTCACCTCGTTTCCCAAGAGTGCATCTAGGTCGTATGAACTGATAAACTTATCGAATTTGTCCTTCCCCTGATGTAACCTTCGATGTAGGAGTTTTGACATTTTGTCTCAAGTGCTTTTTTAAAGTTTACATTTACACAAGAATATCCACGCTTGAGAAATTAAGGCCAGAGTAAGAGAGGGAGAGAGATAGATAGAGAAAGAGAGAGAAAGATAGAGAGAGAGAGAGAGAGGGAGGGAGGGAGAGAGAGAGAGAGAGAGAGAGAGAGAGGGAGGGAGAGAGAGAGAGTGAGAGAGAGAACGTGTAATAGCACGGACGGCAGATAAAAGTACAGTCTTTCAGACTGTGTGATATGGGGGGGGGGGGGGGTTTCTCTTGTAAAAATATGTTAATTTTAGAGAAAAACCGAGAAGACAAAAGGACTGTGAAAAGAGTTAATGTTTTCCTATCATTGATGTAGGGGAATATTTCGCTTCGAGATGGGTGGGCTCGAAATTCACTCATTCATTCATTCATTCATTCTAAGTAACATTAATTTTCTTCGATTCCTTTTTCCTTATTAACAAAAGTAATAAGTGCATACATACATAAACATATAAGCAATCTAACATAGCAACAATTCTGATTCAGGGAAGACGGCTTACTTTCTAAAAACATACAATTATACTTATGTTTGATACGCCTAATAACAATACAATACAATACAATATTCAAATGCTATATATCAAATAATAATAAGACAATGAAAATTTGGATGACATTTATTCGAAAGAAAGTGTAACTTCAATTGTAATCCATACGTGGACATGGATTCTGATGTTAAAATAATGAAGAAGAAACGAAGATTTTCAACGTATACTAAGTCATCGTTAAACGCTCAGGGCATTTCTAACAATCTTCTATCCATCGAAAATTCTTTTACTACAAAAGTGACTTTAAACTTTCATGTGAGGATAAGTGGATATTTGGAATTGACAAAAGAAACACCTGGATGATATTACAGTTTCCATTATCTCCTTCAAAGTAGATGAAATCACTCTTTTGTAAAATATATCTGGAGGCATCAGCATTTTAGCAAATGTATCATCGATAAAATCATCGTTCTCAAATAACGATAGCTCCTTTACCCTCAAATAGCTTAACTATTGTACGGAAATTCGAGAGTATGCTCGTGTAGTTTTCAGCATTTTAGATGAGTATTTAAAGGAAATGCCCGAGAACATGACAAGCAGATAATAAGTTTATTCTATCGTAGGATTAGAATTAAATACAAGACTTGTGGAAAATCGCAGAGTATTATGAAAGAGAAAGGAAAGGTAAACAAGAAAGATAAATAGAGAGGGATTGGGAAGAGGTAGAGGGGAAGGAAGAAAGGGATGATAGGGGGAAATGGGGTGGAAGAATAAAGAGAGGGGAAAAGTGATAGGAAGGAAAGAGAGAAGTAAAACAGCAGCAGTAGCAGGAGGAGAAAAGGAAAAAGATGAACACGAAGAAGAAAAAGAGAGGGAGGGGGAGAGAGAGAGAGGGAGATGGGTAAGGATATTGGACAACCAGGCAATGTGAAGCATGCAACAGTTTTCAAGAGTGAATGTTTTGTCCAAAGGTTAGAAAGGTGGGGTCGGATTTTAATCAAAAGGTCGTGATCCATTCAAAATGTCATTCAAAATGTCTCCTTCCTTTTATTTACAACGATATAATGTGAAGCTGCAAAACTGCCATGTTTCAGAGATTACTTTGATTATTGTTATATTACTACAGGTGTATATATTCCTATTTGTAGTATTACCTTAGATTATTTATTTATGTTATGTTCTATGACAAAATATCATGTAACAATTATGGCTAATAAGATCATTCAATTCAAATGCAACCTGAACGAATGAATGGGAGGAAGAGTATTAAATGGAAGAGACGAATGTTGTACACACTCAAAACAAAAATCCCATCTTCTTTCTAAGTTATCTGTAATGGATGAAACTCACATGTTTGTATTAGCTGTAGCTGTCAGCCATTCTCCTGCCATCGAGACAATATCAAGTCCCTGTGAGATCTGGTTGAAGAACCGTGGATGACCTGTTACAGACAGACGGACAGATCAGATAGATAAGAGATTATTGAGACGCGTTAGATCGAACTCAGGTAGACTTGAGAGGAAGGGGATTTATTGATTGAGAATCGAGGCAAAATGGTAGGCATGATTGGATTTTGTGAGAATGAACGTCCATATGTAAATAATGTTCAGCTCGAAGAGAATCAAATCATATTTTCATTTGCAGGATCATTGCATTAAAAAAGAGGCTTTTATTCTCTTGAAAACGTCAGGGAGAGATGGGCGAGGAGAAAAAGTAATTTAGAGTAGAAACCATAAAATAAATGATATTATTATGTAAAGATAAAAAAAATCTAAGATAAGTTACCTCATGCAATAAATTATCAACACACTGCACCAAAAGGACCTAAAATAAATATTTTAAAAAATACAGAAATACACTGGGTTTTTTTAGTGTCTTAAAATAGTTTTAGAATTTATTGACATTTCTAACAGGCGGAAGTTCAAGTAAAAAGTGCCTCCACTTGCTTTATACCTGTGTGAACGCAGTATTTGAGCGTGTTCCTACAATCGTTGAGGATCTGATCCAGGTTCTCCGCCTTGTCCGGGAGCTCCAGGTGGAGCTTCTCCCTCAGGTCATGGGGGTGGTTGAATTCCAGGATCTTGGTGCTACGGTCGTAGGACTCCTCGACATACTCCACCAGGATGTCGTGCATCTCCTTCAAGAACTTGACCGTGATACCACTGGCTCCCTTGCATGGGAGAAGGTCTGTGGAGGGGGAGGGGAGTCAAGAGATAGGGTGAAGAAACAGGAGGGAATAGACAATGGGAGAGGAGGTATGGAAGAAAGTGAAGTGAGAAGATAAGTGTGTGAGAGAGAGAGAGAGAGAGAGAGAGAGAGAGAGAGAGAGAGAGAGAGAGAGAGAGTGGGAGATTTTGATGTTGAAATAAGAGAGAAAATGGAGGGGAAAGAGGATCATAAGAAAGTAAATTGAGAGAGGGAGAGATATAGGTGGTATATGAGAAATGAAGACATAGACAGAGAAAAGAGAGAGAGAGAGGGGGGGATGAATGGGTTGGGGCAACGGTTGGAGAAAGATGGGCAAAAAGGGCAGAGGAAGGGACAGAAAGAATATAGAAAATGACAAAATATTAGGAAAATTATTGAGAGAAAATAAATGCCAAGTTTTAACTGTTATTTTTTTTCTGCACAAGGTTCCTCTTCAAGATATTCTTTCCATTAAAAAAACCCCCCATACTCAGCTAAATTGGCGTTGGTAGGCCTCGTACCACTAGTATATGTAAATACATACGCTACTTCTCCCTATCCTTTTCTCCCTAAGTTTCTATTTATATCTGTCTTGATACAGGGTGTATATCCCTTTACAAATACTCTATTCCCTTCTCATTTCTTATCCCCCATGCAATGGTAACTTCCTAAAGTACACTCTGCTATACTTTCAGCAATCTCAACGTCAAACACATCTCAGAGTAAAACACCAAGCAGACGACCATCATTCAAATCGTTACTATCGTTTGTCCTCTCCTATCGATCATCCCTCGTTTTTAAGACAAACAGGACCACTACCGCTATATTGACAGAGCTGATTTGGGACATACGATCCACCCAACGGTCAGGGTATACCAACCTCTTTTTTTCATTATTTTCTTTAAATCGAAGGATAAAAGCATTCGCCGGTAATGGTATCGCGAGTAGTACCCATGGAGGGAATTTGTCCGCATTTGTCCGTAAATCGCTCTAAATTGGGGGAAATTTGGATCATTTTCGTAAAAGAGGGCAAAGATAGGTTTTTCTTCAATTTAATTTTTGATGAGCTTGTTTGTGTCATGGTCTGCCAATTTTCTCCGATTTGTTTACGCGCCTTGGTCATCTGTTTGGCCAAGGATGAAAGCGCTGGAAAGTACTTTTCTTCATGGCTGAAATTTTGTCTTCATCTTATCTTGAGTCTGTGATCCAGATCTCCAGTTCTATATCATGATCTGCTCTCTCCATCTCATATTTTGTAGGGTTATAACCTCGACGGAAATAATAAACAGCTTTAAAGGTACTATGTCCCATTTGCAGGCCAAAAAAATGAAAAAGTTAAATTCCAACTGCATTTGAAAGATAATACTAATTTAGAACTTCTCTAAAAAAGGTGGGGCTTGAAAATGTCTTCAAGTGGGAAAATAACGACTATTAGTTGTCAAATTGACTTTAGGGCTATAGAGCCCAAAAGTAATAGTCTTGATTTTCAGACAATATTGGTCATATGTTTTATGCTGCGCAAAAATTCAATCAGTTTAATCTTGGCCATTACAAGAAGTGGGTTATTGATGTAGAAAAATGATGTACCCTTTACAACTCTTTTCGTGTATGTTATTACCAAAGAAGAAAAAAAAGCCAGTCAGTCACTCAATAGTGTCTGACAGGGAAGTCTAGCAAATAAACGGGTTTCCTTGCATAATTTGAATATGAGGACACTGCTAACGTTTAAATTTCACAGATAGGACATACATGACATATTCATAATTCCTGCAAAGTTCTACAGCATTTGAGGTTGGCTGCAAAAGGGACATAGTACCTTTAAAACAATTAAAATTTTTACCATTGCACCTGCTTCAAGAAAATAATCTTGATAACCAGAAGCATATGTATAAACACTTTGCCGATCGAAACTGGATATATTTGTTCCAGGTAAATGCATTTGAAGACCAAAGAGTCCAGACATAGCATAATATGCATACCGCATCTATACACGTCATTTGGTTTTATAATCTAGTAGAGTTCAATCATTCCCATTTGTCAAATGCTAACCATTATCACCTGGGAAAACTTCGGGCAGCCGCACATATATTTTTTTTAGATGAATTCCTAAAAAATTCAATCATGCAATCATTTTATTAGTATCCTTGCACCCACATCCCATAAGAGGTATGGATTATTATTATGGAAACAACAATTAACAGCGCAATAAAAGGAAAAGGGAACACGCGCGCCGAAAATAGTCCGAATAGCGATTGAGTTAATGCAATTTTGATCATCTGCAAATGCGACGCCATTTGAAGTAATTATTGAATTTTCTGTCATCTTGCCCCTCCCTCCCGTTTCCATTTTAATTTTTGTCTCCCTCTCTCTCTCTCTCTCTCTCTCTCTCTCTCTCTCTCTCTCTCTCTCTCTCTCTCTATCTGTGTCTCTTTCTCTCGTTGTGTGTATCCTCGATCTACCTCTTTGTATATTCGTTTGTTTGTCTGTATGTCTCTTTGTCTCTATCTCTCTCTTTGTCACTTTTTTTTTCTCCTTTCCATCTTTATCCGACTGTCTCTTCTATTCCATCTCGTCTCTCTGCCCCTTTTGGTAATAGAACATTATGTCTTCTATTCCTCTCTCCCTTTTTCTCTTCTCTCTGTCACCCCCTCTCTCTCCCTTTTTCTCTTCTCTCTCTCTCTCTCTGTCTCTCTTTCTCTCTCTCTCTCTGTCGTATTCACTCTCACCATCATAAAATTTTCTGACTTTCCCTCTCCTTCTCCCTCTCCCGCTCCTTTCAAGATCCCTGTATTCTTCTCTCATTTTACAGTCTCTTCCAGACTCTCCCACTACCTGTTTGCGTAACTGACAAACTCGCTGAGGTTCCAAATCTTCCCTGATCTCAACCACATAGACGAGACGTTAAACTCAGCTGGACTAACAGTGATGACGTCATTGAGTGGCGAGGTTAATAAGCATGACTATCATTTCATTAGGGTTATTTTTTTCTTGAAGTCTATCAATGTCTTCAAATCGCTTGGAGATGCATCACAATTCAGTAATGTCACTTTGCGATGTGTGCCGTCTCGATCTCACGTATCAAAGCATATCCTCCTATCGTTTGTTTTGATCTGTTCCAATTATTTGTCAAATCCGAGAGAACGGATTTTCTTTAAGTATGTCCCTGTTTTCTTTACCCCTTTTTCTATCCGGACCTCCTATACCCCATGTCTAGTAAACTTCAAGACTTCTCTTCACCCCCCCCCTCTCTCTCTCACTCTCTGTAGCATCCATTCTCTCTCTCTCTCTCTCTATCTATCTCTCTATCTCTTTCTATTCTTTATCTTCTTTTTCTTCTTTTTGTTCTTCTGTTATTTTTATATCCTTTTTCTTCTTCTTCTTCTTTTTATTCCCGATGTCTGCATTGCCCTTCAGTCTCTCTCTATTTGCTTACGTGGTTGTGATTTCTCTTTCATTCGTATACGTTTAGGGTGTGTGAAATAAAGGAAAACTATCCAATCCATACAAAATGAATTTCATCTACTTCTTAAAATATAAATACTTAAAGATAAACGCTTTTAGCATTGCGGCCTTCTCTTCGTGTAGATTCCTTAATACTGTATCAAGAATTATCAAGCAATCTCCAAGGATAGTAAGCATTGTATCACCTTCTTTTGTTAAAGCTCGATAAAGAACTGGTAGTCACACCCTTAAAACTAAGGTGTTGTATCAACACAAACAGATTAAAAGAGCAGGGGGTGAATTTATATTCACACAGGATAAGACTCACTTCTCTTTTATTGCCAGGCTCAAACACTATAAAACATTTCTCAGCGCACAATAATTTATACTGTTTAATCTTCTAGTAAGGGTGGGCACTCCACGACACGTTTAAATGTTGATCTAACACTTCAGATTTTAGAGCGGAATTTCCTCTCTTCAACGTACCCTAGTTGAAATTAGTCAGATCTGGCAAATCTAGGGATATCTCTTTTATGATGGAATGGCATACTTCTCCATTAAAAATATTCTGTGTTAATATCATCAAAAATAGACACTGCAGGCTATTCAAATTGCACACTCTAAAAAAAAGATACCCAATATTGGGTAAAATTTTACACTTTACGAGGGTAAAAAGGGAACATGCATGTTTGTTGGGTAAAATTTGACACAGGGGTAGTTGGGTAAAAATTTACCCAGCAAATGTTTAATGTTTTACCCAACTGATGTGCAATATATTTGACCCAATGTAAAAGGTAAAATGTTACCCAACGACAACCATGTTCCCTTTTTGACACAACATTGGGTAATTTTTACCCAACTCATCCTGGGTACTCGTTAACTTTGTTCTTGTGTAATTTTTAACCCAAAATTTGGGTAAAATTTTAACCCAACCTTATTGTATGATTTTTTATTTTTACACAGATTTGGGTAAAAAAGAGAATTTGTCCGAGGAGTTGGCTGGAAAAGTACATGCTATATGTAGTGTAGTGTATAAATAGCAGACCTCTCTCTCTCTCTTGGCTAGACAGTCTTTCGCTTGGCGTGCTCGCAGTAGGTGACTGCATTGCGGATGACATTCTCCATACGAATAATGTGTTGTCCAGAATTATGAGGAATTTCATGTCCATATTGAGAAGATTTACACGCATTCATGCAAATAAATGCTGCGGAAAGACACAAGTGCATGATCGTAGTCTATTTCGAACAAAGTCGTCCATCCTCTGTCGATCTTGCACACGATTAATTTGATGAATAGCTAATTCGGAACGACCGACCACGCTAGCGCTTCATTCATAGTTTTTAAGATCAGTTGTGTCATAATACCAACGTTTAGGTGTCAAAACTTGTGTTTACCCAACGCGTGGTTCAAATATTAATCTGCATCGTTACTTTCTTACCCCGGAAATGCGCACAGTCCAATTTTGATATGACACTATGGCAAGTGTAATTAAATTTCGAAGGGACTTGGTGTTTCGCACAAGGTTGGGTAATACTTTACCCAACTTTTTTAAACAGCG